ACCGGACCAGTCGCTGATGACAGCATGGGGCCCCAGGCACTGAATGATATATTTGGTTAATTCCTCTTTATATCTCCGTTATGCTCTCAATTATCAGTGGCGAGTTCCAGTGTCACGGCCGTTTATTAAACAAGCAAGAATTAAAATATTGTATAGCAAAAAATTGAATAGTTGGTCTTTTTATTACTTTGGGATTTTGTATGATTCTTCCTAGATGAGTTGGGATGAATAGTATAGGAACCAATTTGCTCTCTCTTTTGGGAGGACTAGTAAAATTTGTCATAAACACCATTCGAGTGAAATTTTTCGGTCATCGGGAATACTGGCCTCAGGGAACGCCAAGAACCATACATTAAAATATTCGAACCGGGCTTGCTTTTACTAAAAAAAATGAGGCTTTCGGAGAAAAATTTTTTGAAATAGGCAAGGATAGTCAATGGCATGTTTGAATTTGGTGAGAATGAAATAGATTAGGGGGTAAAGGAACATTTTGCTCTCCTTGTGCCAAAAAAGAGCGAAAAAGAAGGAAAAAATTCTGAAGAGATTTTTTTTGACTTCATGTTATAGTTATTTCTTGAATCCTTATTGGGTGTTTAATTGTTTTAGCATCGAAAATTTCTTAACAACCAAAAGATAAATATTTAAAAAGTAAATACTGTTTATCCACAAAAATAGCACTTAACAAAAAAGCCCTTTCTGTCTATTATTGAGAAAAATCCAAAACATTTATTATTAGGTCAGGATTTTCCACTAATTCTTTTAGACAGCAGACCAATTTATCAATTTCCTCCTTGGTATTGTAAATAAAGAGAGAAATTCTGACAGCGGCTTCTTCACCAATCAATTCAGACAGATAAGGACAACAAAAGTTATCCGCACGCACTAAAATGTTATTTTTACCTAAATAATTTTCCACGTCATGAGCGTGATGACCGATCAAATTAAAAAGAATAATATCTACCGTTTCTAATTCTTGGTTGTAAATAATCACTTTTTCTAATTCTTTTAATTTACCCAAAGCATAATTTTTCAATTCTCGCTCATAATTATTTATTTCTTTTATATCTAAACTATTAAGAAACTCAAAAGCCGCCTTTAAACCGAATATTTGGGCTAATGGTAAAGTGCCAACTTCAAATTTTCTCGTTAAGGGTCAACATTCATTCTTATCTAATAAAAAATTATTTGGTCCATTTTTTTTCCCGCCACCTCATAATAAATCCGGTAATTTTTGGGCTAATTCTTTTTTTAACCAAAGCACTCCAATTCCGGTCGGTCCATAAACTTTATGTCCGGAAAAAACCAAGGCGTCAATTTTTCATTCTTCAACATTAATCGGCAAATGAGCGATACTTTGACAAGCATCAATTATCACCCAGCAATTCGGGTTTATCTCTTTAATCTTGGCGGCAATCTCTTTAACGGGATTAATTACTCCCAGGCTATTACTCATATGAAAAAAACTGACTATTTTAGTTTTTTTGTCAATATAATTTACTAATTTATCAATATCAATGGTGAACTTTTTATTCAAAGGCAAAAAAATTACTTGGCCGTCCTTTTCTTGGGCCAAGGCTTCTCAAGGAAAATAATTAGAACTATGCTCTAAACGGGTTAAGGAAATTTTATCACCAGGAGCCAAAAAATCACGGGCAGACAAGGCCAAAATATTTAGTGCGTAAGTGGTAGAAGGCAAAAAAAAAATCTCGTCCCGCTTGGCCTTAATTTTTTGGGCGATTAACTGGCGGGTTTGTGAAATATTTTGTCGGACTTTTTGGCTTAAAAAACCGCCGCCTCCACTATGGCTATTAAGAGAATATTTTTCGTAATATTCCCGCACCGCTTCAATAACGCTTTCGGGTTTTAGGCTGGTAGCCGCACTGTCTAGGCAAACGAGATTTGGGTGATGGGTGAAAAAGGGGAAAAAATGACGAATAGCAATTTTTTTATTCATGAATAATATTATTTTTTCATATCATTGTCTATTCGAAAATACCCCTGTTTATTTTTTCTTATCCGTGTCTATTGAAACAATAATCTTTGATTATTTCATTCTTAAATAAATAATTACCCATAATTATTCTATTCTTAAAATACTCATATCTACTTTTGCTCTTTCGTCAAAATATCTAGAATTTATTTTTCGTTCGTGATTAAATTATTTCACTTTTTTATACTACTAATCAGCATAATTTACTACTTTTTTATTTAGAGGAGTGGAAGTGGGTGTGGCTCGGGACATTTTTCGTGAAGCGGCTCGTTTAAAGTTGCTGGAAGACGCCGAAGTCTGATTTACTTATATCCAAAAAAGGAATATTGCAGTACATGCTTATCAACCGGAGATTTTAGATGATTTATTTGCCAATACTGCTAAAGAATTTTTAAAAAATTTAGATTATTTGTTAAACCAGATAGAAAAAGAAGCCCCTAAATATGCTACAAATAGAAACTAAACACTGGAAAATTATTCATTCAATATTATTCCGATATCCTTATAAATTTTATGCCTACGGCTCCCGAGTTAAAAACCAAGCCAAAAAATATTCAGATTTAGACCTTTGCTTTTATGAAGAAATACCCTGGAATATACTCAGCCATATTCAAGAAGACTTTGAAGAATCTGATTTGCCTTTTAAAGTAGAATTAGTGGCTTGGAAATGAATGAGCCCAGAATTTCAAAAATTGATTAAGTTGGATTTGGTGCCATTAGTAAATAAATAAGAATAATATCTAATAATAAATATAATAATTATTAGTATATGTCAAAAATTACCAAACAAGAATTCGAAA